AAGTAACATATAACTAATAATAAAAGAAAATTGTTGAAAAAAAAAAAAAAAAAACGATATATCGGTGAATAGCTTAAAAATGGAACAAGTTTAATGAAGAAATTGTAAAATGTAAACTAGTCAAATTTTTTGAAACGCAAGAATTCTTTTCCAAAAATAAAAAGAGAGAGAGAGAGAGAGAGAGAGAGAGAGAGAGAGAGAGAAAAAAAAAAAAAGAAAGAAAAAAATTGTTTGACTGTGAAAAGTGTACTTTTATCAAAATTGTTCATTTAAACTGTCATTAATCTATTCATTGGGTTTTGAATGTATCAGTAACAGAAGAATATTGTGTTATTTTGCTCCATTGAAAATTAATTTACTTTACTTTCCTTTTTTTTTTTTTTTTTTCATTTTAAAATAATTGAAATTCCATTTGTTGTTCGTTGTTTATAAGATCAAAAGAAGAAAAAACGAATCGAACTGGAAAAGATGAAATGGAGTAGCAAATTATATCGATGGCCCGGGAAATCATCATCATCAACACCATCATTATCATCATCATCACCATCAATCATCATCATCATTGCTATAATCGTCATTATCATCAATCATCATTATTGTCACTATAATGATCATTACCATTATCATCATTATCGTTTACCATCATCACCAATCATCATCATCATTATTGTCACTATAATGATCATTACCATTATCATCATTATCGTTTACCATCATCACCAATCATCATCATCATTATTGTCACTATAATGATCATTACCATTATCATCATTATCGTTTACCATCATCACCAATCATCATCATTATTATTATCATTGCCGTCATCATAATATAGAGCTTATCAACCTAGTAAAATGACTTAATATCAATGTTATCAACAATGATAATATTCACCTTTAAATATCAATTTTAGTAAAGGGATTTTTTTTTTCTGAATTTTTGAATCATTACAACATTTATAAGGAATCAAATTAACTCAATTTATTTATAGCAGCAATAAATTAAATTAATATACAATTTAAAGTGTTTAAAAAAAAAAAAAAAACATAAAAAGTAAAATTGCAATTGTTTATTATAAATTAAACTTAATTCAACTTCCAAATGTTTTTTATTCCATCGATTGAATTAATTTCTCAAAAGAAAATGAAAAAGAAAAGAAATATTATGAGGAATACTTATTGATATGTTTCTTCAACATTATAATAAATGCTTATTCATTCAATGTGAAAAATTTTAGCAACGAAATAGAAGAAATTTTTTTTTTTCATGACATATTGGTTTAAATTTTGCAGACAAGAAATTTTTTTTTTTTTTAAATTTTTTAGGCAATGAAAAATTTCTGAAACTTCAAAATTTATATTAAATAAATTGAAAATTTTAAGCTATTCTTTTCAAACTGAATGAATGGAAAAAGAAAATTGAAATGATTGTGCATGAGTCAATCAAATCATAACGCTGAATCTGTTATATTGTTTGTTTCGATTACTTTTATTTGTTTGTTTGTTTTTTTTTTTTTTTGAAACTTGATCAACTTGTTTAAAGTATCAAAAAAGGAATAAATAAAATGGTAGTTTTAATTTTTTTTTTTTTTTAAAAAAAGGGTCAAATTAAAAATAATAATTTCATTTGCTGATTGATACGATTTGCTTATTATTTACTAAAAATCTTCGAGATGAGAGTTTTGAAGGAAAAAAAGAAAATGCAATGAAAAAAGTAAAAATGCTAAGAGAAATTCTTTGCAAGTTTGGAAATTTTTTTTACAAAAATTTCAATAGTATTACCTTTTCAATTTTAGTAGCTTTTTCTTTTTTTCATAGCTTGTTTAAATTATTAAAAAACAAAAAAAGTGAATTTGGAAATTTTTTTTTCCTTAAAATTTCATATACTTTTTTCATAATTAATTTGAATAAGTTAATTCTCAATTAAGGCTATTATTTATAAAACTATGTATTAAATTATGTAGCATCTATTATCTCTTTCTTTTATCATATTATCACAACTTATCTCTTTTTTTTATCATATTATCACAACTTATCTCTTTCTTTTATCATATTATCACAACTTTTAATTTCTTTCTTCAAAAACTTTTGCTTAATTTCAAATTATTCAAGTGAGTGTTTTCTTGAATAAAACAAATGTTATAGTGAACAAAATGAATTTCATTGATATGCTAGTAAAATGTTGTTATTGATGATAAAATGTTACCAAATTTGATTGAAATGCATCGAAGGAAAGAATGGACAATCAGTTAAAAGTGAATCAAAAATCAAAATATTCAATAATAACAAAAAAAAAAAAAAAGTAAAAGAAAATAAAAAAAAATAAAAAGTGATAAGAATTAATGAATAAACAATTAATGGAAAAAAGGATAGAAAAACGAATAAATAAAGTAAGAAGAAAATATAGATGAGATGGATAAGTGAATGAATGAATCGATAAATAGATATTTGATATTAAAATTTATTTTCAGATTTTAATGATAGCAATTGATTTTCTTCTTTTCAAACTATTCAATACTTTTATATTTTAAATAATGCCTAAAATACTTATTATCAAACAATTATATTCATTAAGAGCATATTTATTATTATTTCCTTCTTCCCTTTTATTATTATTATTATTGTTATTATTATTATTATTATTTCCTTCTTCCTCTTTATTATTGTTATTGTTATTATTATTATTATTATTATTATTATTATTATTATTATTATTATTATTATTATTATTATTATTATTATTATTATTATTATTATTATTATTATTATTATTATTATTATTATTATTATTATTATTATTATTGTATTAGATAGGAAAAAAGGAGGAAAATGTGGAATTCAACGTTATTGATGTGAACTATCAATATCCATGTGAAAAATTAATGAATGATGTAGAAATACTTTAATCTTTGATGGTTTAAGTGAAATCAAACAGAAAGACAATAACAATGTTAAATTTGTAAAAGGGAAGAGTAAAGATGAAAGTAATTGAAAGTATTATAACAAATAATAGCGATGAATAGTATCCTGGCAATATAAGTCTAAAAGTTAATTGCATAAATTCATCCAACTTTTAACTGTAAAGGATTGGAAGATTTTAATTTTATACTTTAAAAGGATCATTTACATATATTACTTGACAATTGATGCATTAGTAAAACTTTATTTACTTAAAACAAAAAGTAGAAAAAGCCTATTGTATTAATTACTCAATCACTGTTAATTACCATTACCTAATTTGAAAGCTTTTAAGCTGGATAAGTTTATAATTTATTACAGTTAAACTTAATGGTTGAAATAAATTCATTTTTTATTTTAACATATTACCTAATCTTGGTACCGCTATACTTATTAGCGGTTGAAGGCGCTAATAGAATGTCCATTTGATGTCCATGTTGACCGGTCATTAGTTGAGCCAGTTTCATTTTCATTATTATCATGAACAAATGCAAAACTATCTTCTAATTGCTGTAATCTACGACAATTACTAACAACTTAAAATAGAAATTCAATAATTTCTATAAAAATGTTCTAACTTGGCCATAAAATAAAAAGTATAAGAAAAGAGATGTAATTGTCATTTAAAATAATCCACAAAAAACAAAAAAAAAATTGAATTGTGAGAATAAATAGAATAGTTGAAAAAAGGGAATAATTACGGATTGTTTCATTTAATTTCTGACCTGAATTTAAATTGCTGTGTACTTACTGGTCGAATGAATAAAATACAGAAAGTAATTTCTCTAAAATTAAATGAAACAATCTATAATTTTTGAGTCAAATTGAGTGAACCAGGTGACCAAATAGAAACAATGCAAATAAGCCAAATGAGCCAAATGTTAAGCTTTGAAGGAAAAAAAAATAAAATTTGAAATTTCTTAAACTTCATTTTCATTTTCATTTTTTCCTTACCCTGTAACTAGCAAATTAGTACATTTTAGACATTTGAATTTATTAGTCAGCAAAAAAACATTCAATAGAGCAATTTAACTATAAACGCTGTATTTTAACTTAATTTATAATAGTTAATATTTTGAAACTTTAATATTTTTAAATAGTATTAGCATTGAATGGAAATAAAATTTAACATTATTAGAACTTATTTCCTAGTTAAACATACAAAAAAATCTTACAAATTGTAATATTTTTAAAAAGTGCAAAATTTGAATTTTTTTTTTAAATTTTAATTTTAATTGTAAAAATAAATTGGGGCTGTGAAAAATTGAAAAATTTATTAATTTCGCTACTGAAATATTGTTAAAACTTTAATAATTAGCTTTTTTAAAAAGTTTATTTTATTATTATTATTGCCTTGAAATGACCAAGCGGTATATGACCAGCACCCAAATAATGCATATAAACTAATCAATAAAGTTGAAAATATCTATTTTTTTAAATGAATTAATATTTTTAAATACTATTAGCGCTTATTTAAAATAAAAATTGATATTATTGGAACTTATTGAAAATTTTTGTTAACTTTATATTCGGTTAATTTTAAAAATTTGAAATACAAATTACTAAGAAATTAGCAAAGCTGAAATTTTAAACAAATAAAAAAATAATTTGAATTTATTTGGTTTTTTTTCTTGTCGCTATAACTTCAGTCGATATCTTGGAGCAAAATTTTTTTTCATAATAATAAATTATTTGTAAATTTTAATTTTAAAATGATAAACTGATATTGAAATGCTGAATGTAAAATTTTTTAGCAAAATTCACTAACACAGAAATGAATTTTCATATTAAATTTTAGTTTACATTAGCAAAATTTATTATACAATTCACGTGTATCACGTGTAAATATATTAAAAAGATCTAAAAAAAGATATTATTGTTTGTAAATTATTCTCCGTTATTATATTCACAAAAAATGCAGCAAGTTGAAAATTTTGAAGTTCTCAAGAACTAATTAATATTATTTGTACGATAAGAAAGGCAAAAAGGTTAATTCAAGTGGTTCAGTAAGAATTTTAATTCAAATCAGATCATTTATGACAATCAGCGTAATCGATCACCAGGATTGTGTGTGGTATCATCGTATTCTGATGGTCGATTAGCTAGCTGACCCCTCAAGTAATAGTCCAACGGTGTGGTCAAATATTCGCTTACTACTTCATCCTCGTCCACATTTTGGCTCATCTTCTTCTCATCTTCTTTCACGTTTTCCTCATTCTACGTGTAAAAAAAAAAAAACATCACACGTACTTCAAAAATTAGTGTGAAAGCGTTTTTTAAATAAAATGTGTAAGTGTATCAAACATAATATTTCCTCGAAATTAAATTTCCTCAATGACAATGTTATTTTCATAGTATTCAACGGTCACCTTTATTAATTAGCCAAACTTACCTAATTAATTAATTAATTAATTAATTAACCAACTTACCTTTTCAACTTCTGTGCTTCTTTCTTTTCCAATGACTTTTTTCTGACTAATTGAATTAACCTCTATTTCGGATTGCTTAACATCTGGTAGTTGTAATTGTTGACATTTGTCTGGAACTGTTGACATTGAGGTTTCTGTAGATGTTAATTTCACCTGTGTTCCTGTAATTTCTTTTAGTGGTATTTTTGATTTCTCAATTATTTGCTTTGTTGGCGTCGTTGTTGTGTGCTTTTTCTCCTTTCTCTGCTTCTTCATTTCTACAAAATAGAAATCTCATAATATTGACAGGAAATTTTTTAACTTAAAAAATTCTCAAATTTTTTCTAATTTTTATTTTGAAAAAAATTAATATTTTCCAAATTCAAAAACTTCATCTCTTTAAGCATCAATGTTAATTGATAATAATTTTAATTATTGTCTAATTAAAATTTCTTAGCTATTGCAATTCGGAAAAAATAAATTTCACAAAGTGAAATTTATTTTATTGAAATTTATCATATATATGAAATTAGTTACAAAACGTAAAAAAAAAGACGCTTTGATAAAATCTTATTTTGTAAGACAGTAGCGATTGCATATCAAATAAGCAGCTTAATTTAAAAATCAGCCTTTAAATTTGGCAAGGAATTAATTACCAAATAAATTTGTTTGTGATGATAAGTCATCAGAATCTGAAAATAAAAATAAAAAATTAACAAATTTTACTTCAAATCTATCATACTGTTTGATAAAGCAAACATACTTAAACAAAGTACTGTGAAAAATTAATTCAAACAAATAATGCTAAAATAATTTTACTTATTACTTGCTGAATTAGTTAATGAATGAGCATAAATAAATAAATTTGTCATTTAATAAACAAAAATAACATTGTGTATACTGCACATCCAATTCATCCACTTTGGAAGCTTTAAGTATATCCAAAAGTTTGTTATCATCCATTTCTTTAGTTTCAAATTTCATTTTTTTATTCTTCAATTCCATTTTATACATTGCTTCTTCTCTTGAGATTGCAACTATTCTATTCGTACGCTTAATACGTTTCTCTATTACTTCCTTATCTTCACTTTTACGTAATGCTTCTTCTGTTGTAACTTTTAACTTTTTCAAATCATCTGTTAATGAAATTTTATTTCCATATTGATCTTCCCATGTTTCCATTACACTTTCTTTTGATTTTTTAATTAATTTGCTTGCAGGTTTATCACTTTTAACAATTGAATACTTATTAGCTGTTTTTACATTTGCAAGTGGATTATCATCTCCTCCTTTTTGAATTGTTGCTACAACACGTATCTTTTCACCGTGTTTATCATTCATGATAATGTTTTTCTTTCCAACAATCTAAATATCTTTTAATATTTTTTACACCCATATGCAATCGATAATTTAGGAAATAAAAATTGTTACAAATGAAGATAATAAAATTCATAAATTACTAATTAGAATAACTGAAATTAATTCATAAATAAATGAAAATTTGAAAAAAAAAAAACATTAATATTTTGGTGCTAATTTGAATTAGAAAATTAAACTTTTAAAAATTAGATTTGAAAAGTGTAATTGTTATATTTGAGTAGTAAATGAAATCTAAAAGATTATGTTCAGCTAATAGATGAAAATATCTATTAGCTAAGTAACTATGCTAATGTAAACATACCTCAACAGTTGATTTTATTGGCTGTTTCATCGTTTTCAGCTTTCGAGTTTTTATTTTAGTACGTGCCGGATGCATTACTGTAGTAATTTGTTCAAATACTGTTGCATCCTTTATGATAGAAAATAAATGATCGAAATATTTTGTTACTAATAATCTTTTTTTTTTTTTTAAAAAAAATATATATATATAAATACTGAAGTTTTTAAGTTATATTTTTATTAACTTAAGTATAATTTAAGTTAAATACATTGCGTATAATTTGATATTATCAATTTCATTTTTCACTTTTATTTCTTAAATTATTGCATTTTTATTTTATCACAAGATAAGTAAATGCTTTTTTCTCAATCTAACAATCATTAAAAAAATATAGATAATATAAAATTTAATCTACATTTAGAAAGTAAGGAATTTGGTAATCTCAAAATTGAACTAATTATATAATTACTGAATTTGTTATCAGTCCCACTTATATGATTGGAATATACCATTTCATAAATATAATATATAAAATATAATATATAATATATAATAATAATAATATATAATAAAATATAATATATAAATATAATAAAATATAATAAAATATAAAAAAAATATATAGTAAAATTTAATATTCTTTTACGTTTTAAACTTAGTTTGTGGAACTTTCATACTTTTGTAACTCTAATCTCTTTAATTTGATTATTGCCTATCAGATGTATAAGTATGTCAATTTATTTGTAAACAATTTTAAAAAAAAAAAAAGAGATAAATTTAAAAGTTTTATTGAATTTTGTGAGTAAAAAATGAAACTCACGTCATCATTACGATTATAATTCGAATGGGGAAAATTTTTTGGTCGCATTATATCTTCAATTTTTTCAAATACTGTATCACACTAAAATGTTAAAATGAAAATTAAATACAATAAATGAAATCTCAATAAATTTTCCTGGTATCTCTCAATGTAAATATATTTTGAAATTTATTGAAAATATTAGCTAATTTCAATTTAATTTATAGTACATTTCATTCTTGCAAATACTAAAAACAATATTATTGGAAATGTTATTGTTAATCAAAAATAACAATATTAGAAGTAAACAACTAAGAACCAATTAATTAATCTCGAGAAGAAGAAGGAAACAAGAAAAACCTCATCAGTACATCTGATCATATATTCCGGTAAGATTATTGCGAATGCATTTGTCATATCTTCGACATATGTGTCATCCTAAAAACAAAAAATATATATATATTTCTTAGTAGAAATTATGGCATGCAGCGATTATCTTTCGATGCATAATCATTTGCATGCATAATTGCTTGCATTGCACAATCATTTGCATGCATAATTGCTTGCATGCACAATCATTTGCATGCATAATTGCTTGCATGCACAATCATTTGTATGCATGACTACAACTGCCTTGTTTAAATTAATTTTTAAATTTCAAACGCTTTAAAATTTCTTATATTTAGTCGAAGTCATATAGCTATCGGCTTGATGCCTAACCATTGTTTACCATTGTGTTTAAGTGATTGTTTATGAATTAATTAGCTACAAACAATGCCTTGACAAAACTATCCTAATTTTAAAATTTAGAAATATATATGAAATATGATGAAAGAGAAAAAGCTGGAATGATGAGAAATCCATCTAACATCGTAATCACTGAAACTATAAGTTGCGCTAGTTGATTTCGATTTCGATTTGCTTAAATCCTGCAATTATTTGTCATTCATTCTTTAATTGCTGCAATTAATTATCATCTTTTCCTCTCTCTAAAATCTCAATGAGTATATCTTCTCTTATCTTATCACTGTTGCAAGTAAAACTGTAAACTTATCTGTGTGAGAGTACTGGAATAAAACTATGGTACCTTTGGTTTTGTTTTCATATTTTTCATATTATGGCATCCTATAAATATATTTATTAATATAATTTTTCTCTCTTTTCACAATGATTATTTTTCATTATTTAATTACGATTTTGTTTTATTAAAATGTTTGTAATATGATTACTTTGCATGAATTTATGTGTGCATAAATATCGTAAAATCAAGAAAAAAAAAACCTTCAAAAAGTTTTCTTTCATCCAGCTGAAAGATAATCAAGTTTAAAATTCTAAATCAAATTTTCAAGAAGTAAGGAATTCGCATTTGTACTTTTATTTTATTTTAAATTTAGTATTAATTTTTTTTTTTTGTATTTTTTGGGTCAAAATCAGTAAACAAATTAGCAGGGTAATTAATTATTTTTTATGGTAAAATAACTTATCTGACGCAAACTTAATGATTAGAAATAAATATAAATGTACTTTGGGAGCATAATTTTTGATGATGTCGTGTCGTGAAGACTTTTTAGAAGTTTTCTTTGAAAAACCTAAATTATTCACTCATTTGTGCAAATAAACGACTCATTCAGTTCAGGTGTGCTTCCGGAATGATTTGACGGATAAATAGATGAAGCTATCTACGAGTGTGAATAGTTACAATCAATGACAGCAGTAGTACTCAATCTTTCATAGTGTCAACAATTCGTTTTTTAATTAAATTTCAAATTCCGATTTATGCTAAATTTCGTGACAACTTAATTTCAACTTAAAATGATTGCTATGATGCAGTTTAGTCCAGCAGGCAACGACTTATTTGTATGATTCGTTTTCTAGATTTTACTAATAAAGTTAGCACACTCAAAGTTAGCAATTAAAGTTAGCATACTAATCGCAAAATTAAAATTATTTTAAAATAATAATAGGATGCAACCTGTTGCAGTTGGTCTCATAATTTTCCATTTACTTTTGCTGCTTAAAAGAGTTCCATTTATTGAAATATTTAAAAGTCTGTTTCAATTAAATAGTAAATATATCATTTATAGCGCCACGGTACTATTAAAGTAAGTAAAATATAAGATTTTGATGGATATCCGAAAAACCACATTTCGAATATCCTTCATTTTCTGTTAAATAACAAAATATAAAGTTGACTTAAGCGAAAAGTTACCCACCTTCGAGAATCATTGCTATCTCGTGAAGTAGAAATTGTTGATTTTGAAATATGAAAAAAAAAAAAAAACTTGGTAAAAAAAGTTGTAAAATTCTATTATTCTTTTCAAAAATAATTTTAATAAAAAAAATTAGGATAAAAAAAGGTTTCAATAATTGTGTTCATTCAATTTTCTGTATAATTTTGTTCATTATATAATTTTTTTAAATGACAAATTTTCTCATTAAACAAATTCTTTGTGAATATTATAGTGGATAATTAAAATAAGAAGAATAGAAAACTAAAATATTAATCTAGAATATGTCCTGAAATTTTTGATTGTAAGCGTTAGTAAAAGAACAAAAATATAACGCTGCCAAAATTGCACTGTAATTAAAATGAACTGAGATTGTTTAATTTTTAAATTTGATGGCATAGAATTTTTTCTATCAATAACTTTTTTTTTACAATGACTGACAATTATTTATGCATCACAAAATTAGCTAAAAAACAAAATCGAAAAATACTGATTAAATTGTAAGGAAAAAATGAGGAAACAAAATGTTTATTTACCGATTTTATCACCGATTTTATCGATTTCGATTTAACATTTTTTGAAGATGAATCTGTTGTCGTAGCATTTTTTGCATGAAATTTTCTAAACATACTAATGTTATGAAAGCTCTTTGATCATTTATTTTTTTTTTTTCTCTAATTAGTTTAAAGAAACAAGAATCGATCATTGATTTGCCACAGATTTACCTACTCTAATGCTGATTTTACCTGAATTAACCTTTTCATCTCATTTGTCTTTCATACAATTTACTTACTTCAACATTTCTTTAAGTTAATCCACTGAGTGGAGATGAGTTGAAGTAAAAAAAAAAATGAAATTAAAATTACCTAATTTAACTGATTACATTTATAATATCAAATCTAATTTGCATATATCTATTCGGCAGTTAGAATTTTATTTCATAAAAAATGAAAAGTGATGATAATTTCTACGCAGAAGAAAAAGTCTTTTACTAATTATAAAATTAGGTTCACTAAAAATTAGTGATATCATTGATATGTTTTCGAGAATAAAATACTCTTGATAATATATTTCTTATATTTTTTGACTAGCTATCAAAAAGTAAATGAAAACTTGGAACAAATGTTATCATTGATTAAAGATTCATATAAACAATAATATTTAAAAAAAAAAAAAAAAAATTGATCAGATATCAAATTTTTACTATCAAAAAAATGCAAAAGATTGATATAAGGCAAATAAAATTTTTACTAAATAAAAATTACAAGAGGAATAATATTTATACATTCTGATTGGAATAAATAATAACAATTTAGCAAAAAAAAAAAAGAATGAAAAAACTTAAAATATAAAATTTCAAAAACCAAACTTCTTCTGAAGGATAATGATTTAAACTATAAATGTTTTAAATAGTTTTTTTGCTAACTTTCATTTGCGATATAAATCTGTCAGAACTTTTGCCGTAATCTTATACAATTATTATATAAGCAATTGTAACGATACTAAATACTGTAATAAAAATTAAAAATAGAGACATTTTTGCATAGTTTAGATTTAAATGCTTCCATTGTCTGATAATATGATAAAATTAAATAAAGTTTATATCAATAATTTTCATTTCAGTTTCAGATGGCCATTTTACCTTTGTTTAATTCAAATTGATTATATGGAATTGTTGCAAGTAATTGATGGTGACAGATTGATGTCTTTAAATTGATATCATTATCAGACAATGGAAGCATTTAAATTCATAAATTGAGAGCTGTTTTAACATAAGTGAACATTTTAGAATTCATATTCATACCTACCAAAAACTTAGAACTCAAAATTCATAGTTCAAAAAATTAGAAATAATATTAACTGGAGAATTTCAACTGTTGTCATTATATTAATTAATAAGTGATATTTTTTGTTTTTTGTTTTTTGATATAATTTCAAATTTTTCTTTATATTTTTTAATTATCTTTTTAATATTTTTAAAAATTTCTTTTATGTTTTTTTTTTATACTTTTGTATGTTATTTTTCTTAATTTATGTGTATTTATATCGTTTTTTTTTCTTTTTTAACT